AAGCTATAAATTCTTAAAGCCTTCCTTTAATGTACTTCCCCCACTAAGGCTCCACTTCCTGAAGGTTCCAGAATCTCTCTGCAAACAGCGTCATCAACTGGGGACCAAGTATCCAAATACATGAATTTGTAGGGAATACACTTCTTATTTAGATCACCAGGTTGACCCACACTAAAATTATTTTCCTAAGCCTAAATGAAAATCATGGCTTCATCTGAGTGGAGGTTTCTGAGGAAAGGCTCCTCAGGCTGTTAGAGCCAGCAGCATTGAGCTGTGGTTCCCCACTGGTACCTCCGGTTAGCTCCAGTCATCTCTACCCTAAATTCATTGATCATCCCAACTGATTGAACATTGCCTCAATGTTCCTTTTCCTAAGGAGGAATGTCTTTGTAAATGTTAAATTGCCTGAAACATAAGTGAGACTTTGCATTGCACTGGGAATATCACGTCCTTTCCTCATTACAAGACCCTGTCTCTGCCCTCAGCTGATCCCACATATCAGCTCCCATCCTAGGGACTTAACTACTGTAGTCCCTGCAAATCTGCAAATTTGCAGCTCCAGATTAACTATTCCTTGGGAAAATATTCTTCACTAACCTAAAGTCCCTAGCAGTCTTCCTATTGTATGGTGTCATAGGACTTAATGTCAGTGTCTGTTGTCCACCATGATGTCTAGCATAATATCAAATTTATAAAGGTGCACTGTAGGTATTTTTTGAATAATCAAAACAAGAGATTCTAGGGTTGTCCAATTCGTTGGTATTATTCATATATAAATCACTACAGGAAAAAACAATTACATTTATTTTGATCTAGTGAGCCCATAAAAATGTTACTCTCTGGAACTTTATGAGATACGGATGTGGGCTGAGCTCTATATTATTTACCAGACTCAGCTTCATGAACACCATGAAAAAAAAAATGTCTGCTGCTAAAGAACTTACACATGGGGCAGACAGAGCACATCCACACATCAAAATGGCAAAAAGACTACTAATTAGCGCATGCTCAAGGCTCACACAAGGGAGAGTTGGAACAGAAGACAGTTCCCTGGAGGAAGGAGAATTGAATGGACCTGGAAGGAATGAGATTTGCAAAAGGAGAAGGAAGGCATACAGTGTGGTACAGGGTCAGCAGCCATACAAGGACAAGATGGGGAGCAGGGTTGAAGCACAAGGACCTCATCTGCAGCATCCATATCCTCCCTCCTCCAGAGAAGAGCACTACATAGTGCTCCAGAAGGTATTGATGCCTTTTGTTCTAGGTTTCAACACTGCAACAGCTGGGCAGCAACAGAACAGTCTTTGTGTTTTCTTACACCATTTAAAAAAGAAAAATCAAGTGTACAATTATTTCCTTAGCCAAGAAAGAAAAAATAAACAGCCCCTGGATAAAACTGTGAAGAAGAGAGTGAGCCATACACAACAGGACAAGGCAGGTCTGAAGATGGGCCTCAGAGAAAGGCATCTGAAAGAATAGACGCAAAGGGATGTAGCACCACAGAACAGACAGCCTGGACCAGACAGAATGGGGCAGTGGCAAGGACTCTTGGCAGAGAGAGCAGCTGTAGTCTTTAACTGACATAATGCTTTGGCAAAGAGTTTGCAGTTAGAAGTCTAGATTGGCTTCCTCTTTGAAAACACAGTTATCTCATTTCTGGTGTATGAACACCATGGGAATACAACAGAGAGGTATTTGTGTCTTCATCCAAGTCAGTGTGAATTAATTTGTATGAGCACAATCTTCCTAAAAGGGCTGTTATTATCATCATGGCTCTTTGCTGGTTTTATCGTATCTTTTCTTCTGGACATATTTGTCTCTGCCACATTGCCTTGAGAGCATAGGTGTCAGCAGTCTCCAGCTCTATTTTAAGCTTGGGTAGGAGAGCATGTAACTTAAGTAGGGATGGCGCAAAGGAAATTTATGAAGCCTGCCGCAGTATATTCAGGGTAGTTGGAATTGTACTGTGGCTATAAAACCCCATTCTGAAGCAATTCGCCTGAAAGAGGGAGGTGCCAGAACTCGTAGACATAGTGGAGAGAGACTGAGATAGAAGTAGATGGGTATAGATGACAGACAGACAGACGGATCAACAGAGATGGATATGCTAGGATAGAGATGGACAGAGATGGAGAGCTAGAAATAATGGAAAGAGATGGAAAATATATCAGTGGATAGGGATAGCTGGAAGTATAGACAGACGGATAATGATGGACAGACACTAGCACATAGAGACAGACAATGAATGGGTGGCAGTGGAGTGGGCCTATCGATGGGACAGGAGGGACAGATAAATGGATGTAGAGAGATGACTAGAGGCTCCACCATAAATCTACAAGCTGCCTTTGCTAAATGTTTATAACTAAAGAATATGACACAGAAACATTTGTTTATTTGACATGAAGAAGAGCAGACATGGGCTTGTGTTGGAATTACTGGGAAGCTGCAATTACTCCATGCTTAAGCAAAAGACTTGTTTTCCTAAGTGAAGCAAACCTCCAGAATATGAGGAACTAATTATTCAAAAACTTCATCTCTGTGAGCCACAAAGACCCCTGGCATGAACAGGTATTAGGATGGTTGAGTTACACAAAGAAATCTTTCTGAGGTGTTAGTACTCAATATCTAGGCTTCTTGTTTTCTTTGAGGTCTTTATTTGACTTTTTAAAAACTTTTAATAATGACTTTCATCAAGCTCAGAGGGTCTCCTCATGTAGAAATTGTGAGGTGAACTTAATGCACATTATAAAACAAACAAACACGGAGCTTCCTATCTGATCCCTGTCTTGCCTTGGCTCAAGGAGCTCACACCAAGGACAGGCTCTCCGAAACAGGACAAGCTGTACAATCAGAGGCATTGAGGATAACAGTGTAGGGTAGCTCATTAACACTGTCTGCAGATGGTTGTGCTGATTGTAATCCCCAAGACTTAGGAGGCTGAGGGAAGAGCGTTGCTGCAAGTTCAAGGCCAACCTGGGCTACAGGGCAAAACCCTATCTCAAAAATATAAAAATAAATAAAAAACAAACAACAACAAAACACTTTTAAAAACTGTTTACTAGGTGCACATACCAGAAAAGCCTAACACCACTGGATAAGAATTGGCTTACCCTAGGGTAATAGGGCTCAGTGTGGTAAGTTCAGATCAAACTTCTCATAGTCTCTCGGAGTGACACAGCACAGAGAACGTGTGTTCCCACAGCCATCGCAAGAAGTAGCTCAGATCCGGGAACATGGGTGGCCAACACCAAATCACAGCTGAGCCTGCTATGATTAACCATTCAGCCTACTGAGCTTGCAGTTTCTCTGTTGCACATGTAAATATCAGCAGGGAATGGGGGTGGGGAATACTCATGGAGGTGGATGGAAGGGAAGCAGCAGAGTCACCATGGTGGCAGGGCCCAGGGCTGTCAGAGAGGCCCAGCATCCTTTTGCACACTTGAGCACAGCGGAAGTGATTCAGGTCAGGGTTCTCCAGTGCCCGTGAATTCTCCTTTGGCCCAAAGTAAACAAGCCAAAGGTTCTCTGCTGTTCTCAGAATCCAAAGTAATGGACCAGAACCAGGAAAATGTAAAATAGCTGAAACCTGAGATCTATCAGCTTTAAATTCAACTGAAAGTGCCCCCAAGCACAGAATCCCAGGGAGTGGGCTGCATGCCTTTTGGAACTGCCCAGAACTGAGGCTTTATGAGCACAGCTGATAACTGATAAGGGTTCTAATCCTCCCACATTGGGTCATCAGGCTTCTCCCAGTCTCTGATAATGTACTGACGAACTAAGGCTTGGCTCAGCTCCATGGTCAGCAGGCATTTTTCTGGTGGAAGCTGGAACACAAGTTATGGCCAGAGCTTATGAAGGTGATATCTGGTGTGCTTGGAACTGAACAGCTGCAGACAGATGTGTCAGCATAACCACCCGAGGCAATCAGCTGAGGTGAGTCATCCATGGGAAAACAGCATAATGAAGGAGAGGTACAACACGACCCTGTCACTTCTCATGAACAGGAATAACAGAAAGTTCATGAATGAACCCTCTGCTCAGTTGCCAACTTCAGGTCACATAAAGGGGAAACATTTTTTTGTGAATGATTATGTGGCAAAATAAATCACTCAAAGGTACCTTTACTGTGTTTGCTTAGAGTCACTTGATTTAATGGCTGAACTTCTACCACACCACCGTCTACTTCATCTCCACCAAAATATGGAAGGCAGTACCTCAGAGCACATGATTCCAAGTATACACTCTGTTCTTGCAACGATTGTGACATACTCATCCACAAAACAAGAGGAACAGAGTAAGGCACAGAATTAGAGACAGTTAGGAAGTCTGAGGCAAAACAGTCTCTCTGAAATGGCTGCATAAACAAGACTGGAACAGCAGCAGCAAAAGGCAGCGGCGAACAGTCCTAACCAGACAGGGAGCTTCAAATAATGATTGCTGGGGGAGGGAGAATCCCACCCCAGGGGATTAGTCCATTTGTTGGTTGTTCAATACAGTGTAGTCAGCCTTGAAACCAAGGACATACAAAACAACAACAACAACCAAAACAAAATTGAATTCAGCAAGTAGTATTTACAGATATGAGTATACACATACATATGTATATGTATGGAACAATAAAAGAAAAAGGTTATCAACTTGGAAATGGTGGGGAACATGGGAGTGGGGACGGGGTGGAGGACAGAACCTGGGAGAAGCTAGAGGGAGGAAAGGAAGCCAGGAAGTGATAGAATTTAATTTTAATTAAAAAATATTTTTAAAAAGAAAATTAGAGTCAGCCATCATACTTCAAAAAAAAAAAGACAGACAGACAGATAGACATGAATGGAGAGAGTGTAAATACACTCATAGCTGCTGGGCTCACAGTGTGACTTTGGTCAGACTCTTTGGGGTTCACTGACAGCATCAGATCAATTTACACAGATGAAAGGTTGGTTTTTGACTCCTCAAAGCATAATCATGAAGCTACATTAGGCTGAAAACGAAAGCGCGGCACTTACTGATTCCTTGAAAGAGCTCCTCAATATTAATGGCATTCTTTGCACTTGTCTCCACCACGATGGCCCCTATGGACTCAGCGTATTCCTTAGCATCCTTCAGGGGCACCTCCCTGGAAAAGAGGTCAAACAAGAAATGAGCGCTCGTGTGTGAAACATGAAAACTCAGGAGGCCAAACAAACAGCACTTGTGGAAACCTTTGCTTTCCTATAGAATAACAACGTAATCACTTCTCAAAGATTGAAAACTCACAACAGGCACATCTTAGAAGTTGGTTTCTTTTTTTCTTTTATTGAGGCCACTGGATTTTATTGGATTTAAAGACAGTTTCATTTATTGTAATTTTGAAGCAAGATATAAATCAGATAGGACAGTCATAAATGCATATAACAATAATAGTCCTTGGGAATGGAGAGATGGTTAAGTGCTTCTAGAGAACCTGTGTTTGTCAGGCTGTGTGCCTGTCCTGCAGCTAGGAGTGCTGCTAGTGTGTGTGTCAGGGGCAGCACTCAGGGTTTCTATCAGGCATGGTAGCACACGACTTTAATCCTAATAAGTGGATATCTGTGAGTTCAAGGCCAGCCTAGTCTACACTGTGAGTTCCAGGACAGCCAAGGCTACAGAGAAAAGCCCTGTCTCAAAAAGAAAAAGAGGAGGGGGGAGGAGAAGAAGGAGGAAGGAAAGAAGGAGGAAGAAGAGGAGGGGGAAGAGGAGAAGGGGGAGGAGGAGGAGAAGATGTAGTTAGTCTTTGGCAACCATGGACAAGCCACACATTTATAACACAGTGCACTCTCCACAGAAGGAGTGAATTTCTAGGCAGGAGAGAAAATGGTTTTAAGTATTGGTTACGGACATTCCAGGACACTCCAGATTGCAGAGCCAGGGAACATTCCCTTCAAAACTCACATTGAAACTTAATGGCCATCATGAAAGTATTAAAAAGTGAGAGCTGTAAAGAGGTTAAGGAGGGCTGGGGTCAATGTGTTTATGAAAGAGAGAGCTTGACCCCGCTTTTGCCTCTTTGCCCTTCCACCTTGAAAATCAGTGTTGTCCTATCCTCAGGATAAGACAGTCTAAACACCATTTTGGAATCAGAATCAGCAAGCCTGCCACCTCCTTGATACTGAACGTCCCAGACTCACAAATCTAGAGTCTGTATATTTTGGGCTAATTATACAGTTAGTGATATTCTGTTACAGAATAAAACAGACAACAGAAAGCTACTTTCAACACTTATTTTCCATCACATGACTCAACATTAACAATGACACACTGTGCATGCACTAGTGTATAGCTTTTGACATGTTTTATACATGACTGTTCGGCCATATCTGAAGGTTTGACATCCATGTACTCAACTAACTGTAGAGTTAAAAAATACATCAAACCAATGTGTCTATACCAAACATGTGCAGATCTTCCCACGGGCATCACTTCCTAAGTGATACTGAACAACAAGCTCTTTACTCAGTGAAGAGGAATGAGAATGGCCTCTAGAGGCTCATATGTTTGAATACTTGGTCCCCAGCTGATGGAACTGTTTGGAAAGGATTAGGAGGTGTGTCCTTGCTGGAGAAGGTATGTCCCTGTTGGAGGAGGTGTGTCATTGGGGGCAGGCTGTGAGGTTTTAAACAACTTCTGCTATTCTCAGCGTGTACTCTTGCTTTCTACTTGCAGACCAAGATGTAAGCTTTCAGCTATTTCTGTGGCATCTTAGACTCTAACACTCTGTAAGCCCAACTACACACTATCTTTTATAGTTGCCTTTGGTTGTGGTTATCACAGCAATAGGAAAGCATTGAATACATACAGCATTACATCATGCTAATATAAGTTATCTGGAGATGGTTTAAAGTACATGGGGGTTGGCTTCTGTGAAAATACTAAGGGGCTCAAGCACCTGTGAACTCTGGCAGCCCAACAAGCTCTGAGAGCCAACATAAAAACTATGACATGATTCGAGAGTTGGGAATGAAAAATCTTTTGTTGTTGTTGTTGTTGTTGTTTTTGTTTGTTTGTTTGTTTGGTTTTTGTTTTTGTTTTTTTCAAGACAGGGTTTCTCTGTGTAGCCCTGGCTGTCCTGGAACTCACTCTGTAGACCAGGCTAGCCTCGAACTCTTGAACTCAGAAATCCGCCTGCCTCTGCCTCCCAAGTGCTGAGATTAAAGGTGCGCCACCACCGCCCGGCAGAAATGAAAATCTTATGACCAAGGTGCAATGTGGCATGTCTGGACCTCAACCTTTCAAAACAGTGCTTCTTGCAAGGTGTTAGGGTATAACAATCTAAACAGGAATTAACTGATCTGTTTTCAATGGGAAGATACTGGGGTGGCTCCAAAAATAAAAAGGACAGTTCTTAGTCCCCAAAGCCTGTGTGTTTATTCAGTGAATGTTTATTAAGTGGCTCTTGGATACAGGCCTTCCTCTGGGGACTAAGACAAACATGTTTTGAGACTCTACATGGTAGGCTGAACATGTTAGACCAGAGACAAAGCGTTTGAATGCACTGTAACACAAAGTACTTCAGGAGGGCAGGGGTGGAACCTCATCCATTTAGAGATGGGAGTCTGGGACACTTTCTTGGAGAAGGCCGTTTCTGTGCGGCCACAAAGCCAAGTGAAGATTGTGAGTGAACCAAGAGAAGGCCCAGAAGTGTACAAGTATACACTTGTTTCCTGATAATCTCAAAAACAAACTCCATATTCAATACTGCCTGGATGATATGGTGCTCACACACAAATGAGAGTCTGATGGGATAAAAGAAGATCAGAGTGGCTGGCACTGAGACAAAGAGGGTCTGGTGGAGCTGTGACAGGTACAAAGGAAGGAACACCATGCCTGCTTTGTATCCAATGGCTTCTAGGGGACAGGAAGGGACAATGGAAAACACAAGACATAAAACGGGCTAGGGACCAGAACTTAGAAAGGAGGCTGGGAGCTCTGCATGCCCTGCAGGTGAGGGACAATACATTTGAATAAAATGACAGCAGAAGGAAGTGGGGGGAGGGGGACACAAGTGGACTTTGGGAATTAGGATGAAGAGACAGGATTCATATCCTTCTCTTTTCTCCCCTCCCTTCACTGGTTGAGAAGATGCCAGGAACAGTGTATCCTCATGAAGCCTGTAAAAGTTGGCTTCTATTGCTGTGATGAAGCACCATGACCAAAGCAACTTGGGGAGGAAAGGCTTGGTTGGCTTATATGTCCTGATCATAGTCTACCACTGAACTAAAGCAGAGGCCAGGGAGGAGTGCTGCTCACTAGGAGGCCCCTGTGGGTTTCTCAGCCAGCCATACTAAAAGCAGTTGTCCTGCTGGGAAAGGGTGGGTCCTCTATGAAGCAGCTAAGGGTTAAGACTTGGTCTTGCAAAAGAGTAGGGTTGCTTTCTATAATAACATATACTTATCTTGATTTTAAGTTACTTTGAAGCAAGAGGCTGCAGGCCTCTAGATCTAATGACACTTGTTGCTAACAGTAGGGTGATTAGGTAGAGGATTTGTTGCTAGGGCTCCCTTTTCAGGCCAGGCAGCCAGAAGCCCTTCACTGGCCTGGCTGATTAACTCTTGGTGAACCAGAGAAGTAGGAAAGGAAAAAAATTAACCTCTTTATACATGCAGGTAAGCACAGACACATATACATTCATACACCCACACTCTGTCTGGGCCTGACTGTCTCAATCAACTCCGCAAGTATTTATGCATGCTTACACATATACACATATACCTATACATGATGTACGTACAGACAAAATATACATTTGGATGGATGGATGGATGGATGGATGGATGGATGGATGGATGGACAGTACAGAGTCCCCCAAGCCAAACCATCCAACCAACAACTTTATTTCTTTTCTCTGGCTTTTTCTTATACCTTCTTAGGCAAAAAGTTCTTTAGAAAGTTACCTTAGCTCTTATTCCTCAACCCTGAGCACCTGCAGGTTATCCTCTCCCCTCTCCCCTTCTCTTCCCCCTCTCTCCACGTGGTCATGGCCGGCCTCTACTCCTCTCTACTTCTCTCTCTCTCTCCTCTTGCTCTCCCACTCTCTTAATAAACCTCCCCACGTGGAACCAAAAAAAAAAAAAAAGAAAGTTACCTTATAGATAGAATGTAACAGAAAAGGGGAATTACAGGAGGATGTTGATATTACGTTCAAAGCATTATAATATGCTCCTTCAACTAAGTCAGATGTGACCAGTAGCCAATCAGCTGTTGGGCTGCCTCACTTTCATTTTTTACATCTTATTTCCTTTTCTCTGGAAAAGTATACTCGGATTGGCTGGTGGGTTGTTGAACCTTTCGAGAATGGGATTGCTAACTGATCCTAGAATTGAAAAAAACAAAAGTCAAATTAAGATCTCTAAAACTAGCCAGGTGGTGGTTGTGCACACCTTTAGATTCAGTACTTGAAGAAGCAGAGGCAGGTGGATCTCTGTGAGTTTGAGGTTAGCCTGATCTACAAAGTGAGTTCCAGGATGGCCAGAACTACACAGAGAAACCCTGCCTCAAAAAGCCTACAAGATCTCTAAAACTAGATTTGCTGATGCATGTGGGCATATTTGAGTCCATGTTGCTGGGGACTAAACAATATCTCATTAATGTTAGACTTCACCACCAAGCTACACCCCCATCCTGTATGTATGTATGTATGTATTTATTTATTTATTTATTTATTTATTTATTGATGTATGTATGTGTGTACAATGTGTGAGTATGAGTCACATGGCACCCATGGAGAGGTTAGACCAACTTCTGGGAGTCTTTTTCCCTTCCACAACAAAAGTGGTTACTTGCAGAGTCTTGAAGGCCAGAGAAAGTCCTGCCAGTACAAACAGAGAAGGACCAACCACTATTGGAGTCTGTCAGAATATGTTCATTACCATGCTTAATAAAAAGTACATAGGTCAACAAGATGGATAACTGGGCAAAGGTGCTTGTCAACAAGCCCAAGTTCACTCCTTAGAACCTACATAGTATATAGAGAGAATCAGTTCCCTCTATACACATGTTATGGAATGTGTATGAACACACATGCACACTATAAATGTAGTTTTTTATTCTCCTGTAGTAACTGTCATCTTAGAGACTTACCACCTCTGTCTGCTAACCCAG